CACGCCCGTTCAGCATATCGGCGATGTACAAGTTCCCCTGGCTGTCCACTGCCAACGACACCGGCCCGTTGAGCAGTGCATCACTCGCAGCACCTCCATCACCACTGTAGCCAGGTACTGATTGTTGGCCTGCAACTACGGACAGCATTCCAGCTGCAGAGTAGGGATATGCGTCTGTGACATTCTGTGTCGGAACTACCCAGACGATCGAAGTGGTAGCACTGCCACCTCCGTCAAACCTCGCCTCCGCTATGAAAACCCGACCACTCTGGTCCACAGCTAGTGCTACCGGCTCCAGTGGCACTGACTCTGCCGGAAGTGGCAGGTCAGACCATGACCTCGACGTTGTCGGCGCGGCGCCTGTGCCGGCAAAGCCCCGAATGGTTCCAGCAGGTGCTACCATGCGCACTCGACGCTCTGCTGTGTCGGCGATGAAGATGTTGCCCTCCATGTCCAAAGCAACACCTCAACAAACCGGAACCGGCAACTTGATTCGCATTTGCTTCGCATGATTCCCGTGCCCGCAACTCTACCGGGCCTTGTGGATTGTCCAGCTGTGCTGCACTTGCAGGGCCGCCGTCGCCACAGGCAGCACTGCTGCAAGCACTTCCAGTACCAGCCACAGTCTGCACAGCTCTGGGGGCGTTCCTTGGCTGAGCACAAACCCAACCTTGGCCCAAAGGAAACACGGTCAGCAGTAGCTGCAGGCAGGATGCGGCTCGCCATCTGATCTGACACCCAGACCTACCACAGAAGCTACAAGCAGGCTTCAAGAATGCAAGCAAAGCTGACGGTATCAAGATCCTGAACCCAATCCAACAGAAAACGTGTCCATATCCTCCCTGAGCAGGTTGAAACAGGACGGTGAAGAAAACCTCGCAAGCGACTTCATTCTGAAAATCCAACAATTATTAACTTCCAACATCCCCACCCCTCGCCTTTGTGGCTTGCTGGCATGATCAACTACATCCAGCAACAATGCAATATGCTGGGATACGCTGCGGTTGGGCACTGCAGGGTTAGCGGTTGGCTCTGCAGCCAGACACCGCACAGAGAGTAAAGAGAATGTAGACCTCCTTCTAACAACCTCACTGGAGGGTGGGAAACAATCCATGATTAGTAATTACTTGAGTCCGATGGCAAGAGTCCAAGAGGGTGAAGCGCAGCAAGTCTTGTGCATTCCCACCTTCCTTACCTTGCGTGTCATGCCCTATGGAACTCCTGCTAGCCCTCAATCAAGCCCCCGCCACCTTCAGTGATGGCCCAAGTTTGTGAGGCTTTGGTCGAGTCGCACGCGGCCAGCGCCTCGTTCTTACAAACTCCAAAGGCTGATGTGAAGCTTCTTGCAGCTAGCAAGCACGGGCCATTTGTGGGGCTCTGTATGGTTGCATCTTGGCGAGGCGTTTGTAAAATGGTGCTCTTGGCGCACGACGAGACTTGTGTCCCAGGAAGCTGCATCTATGCAGGCACCCTGGAGCCGGAGCATGAACCTTAGTGACTGCTGGGGCCGTACTGCGAAGAAAAACTTGAGCTGTATTCCGGCATTGCGTATCTATCTGTATGAGTTTTCGAGATTCTTCGAGATATCAGACTCAGCGGCAGCACTCTCAACACACATTGCGGTTTCTACAGCAGACATTCAAACCACAAAAAACTTGCAGAACCAGGGGCGGATCCTCTGGAGGCTGTTGTCCTGTGATCCTGTCATGCACTCTTGCATCACTGCAAGAAAAATGGCTGAGATCATGTCAGTTGCCACTCATCCGTACCATCAGCAGAGTGTTGGCCAGTCCTGAACTGCTGGAGTTCATCGAGGCCGTCACAAAGCGAAAGCCGGACTCGGTCACCGCTGCCAATGAAGCCATCACCTGCAAGCGATTCCACCCTGATAAACCAGCACCTTTCAAGCCACTCAATCACGTTTTGATTAGGCTGTGGCCTGTGAAGTCGTACCCCTGCCAGCAAAGCTCTGTGCCCAGACCCCGGATCGTGTGGTCACTGCCAAGGACCCAGCGTTGCCCTGCAGACGCTTTGAGTTTTGAGCTCTTAGAGTTGGCAGGGTGAAGGGCTTCATGTACAAAAGCACAACAAGCAGCCGGAATTAAACCACCTGGAAAGGCTGACCTTAGCGGCCTTAACCTGATCCTAACCCCCGGGCTGCAAGTTCAGGGCACCGCTTCCAGTGCAGCTGGTCATAGCCACGTCTCCGTGGATACCGGCCTCAGCTTGGGATTGCATTGCAGCTGCCTGGCACACCACTCCCGGTAACCGGCTCACCCAAGCAAAGCTCTACAGACTCCAATGGTGCAGTGCCAAAAACTTCCGGCTGTGTAAGCTGCACTGACTATCGTGGAAAAGTGCTAGCACCAAGTTGCGGCAGGCGTTGTAGCACAAATCCTGAGACAGCAGGGTGTGCGACAGCGCAAATTGCCATCTTGCTGCCCTGCTCACATTGCCGCAACAGAAGGCCGCGCCTAACTAACGCAACTTAGGCGCGGCAGCTCGGCGCTCACGTCGCTTCCGAACCCTCCGGAAGTCGAAGCACAGACCGCGTTCTGGCAGGCAACCTTCCAGTTCAGCACGAAGTAGGCTGATGCAACAACCAAACTCTTGCAGGGAGCCCTACTTCCATGCATCCACACAAGTCAGAGGAATACCCATCGGCAACAAGGATCACTCCACTGCGTCCCTCATGCATGCGCATCGGGCAGGGGTGGAAACCCTGAAGCTGGGCCAACCTAGAGTATCCCATGCTGGATGTTCCGGCATGAAGCCACAGCACTGGCGCTGATTAATGTTTGTTGTCCATGGTCATCAATCCAATGTTCTTCTCTTTCCTGTTTGTAGCAGACTACTGCCCCTTCTCCCGCTGATTCTCCAACTCTTACCCCGAAGAGTACTTCAACTCCTGATCCCACGAACGCCGACTCCTAGTCGGACTCCTCCTCCGCCTACTTCTATGATGACTACGACTACGCAATAACTAGAATGAGCACGCTGCCTGCAGGAAGTATACGCCGGCGTCGCGGAAAAAGGGTGCCTGGCTTGCTGAGTCTTCGTGCCCAGGGCTGTCCAGGGTACAAGCAGAAAAGCTTTCCGGTGGACTTTAAAGTGATTCCTCTACTCCAGGTTCGAAGGCATGAGACCTTGTTCAAACTGACGGATCCCATTGTTCTGATTGAACTGCCGACTTGACGCCATTCTGAGCTGAAACCTGCCCTCAATGACGAGGGCAAGAACTTAGCCAACCAAGCCTGCCTTGCTGAGAAGAACTCAAAGTGCAAACAACCCAAGCCCATACCAGACCTCTAACAGGGAGATCTTCTCCATGGAGTGGCCACCTGGGCGCATACCAGATCATGTTAGCATGCAGGGTAGGCCTTTTTCTGCTGCCCAGACTATCCTTTTTGATCTAAAGCCAACGACTTGCTCCCATGGTAAGAAATACGTTCAAAAAACGCTGTATTACCCAGCCAAGATGTAGAGGGGCAGTATCCGGATCTGCCAAGCGGCAGAAAATCTTGCCACGCTGAAGGACCAAGGCATCTGCATGCCCATCATCTGTGGCGCTATTGATGCTGAGGCCATCCTTGTATCTGGCAGTTCCGAGGGCTTCAAAAAGGATCTGCAGTGCAACCGCTGGGTCTACTGTTGAAAACTCCAGAGATCTCAAGCGCTGCACAGCGGCAAAGAGAAGAGCTCCGCGACGCTGCACATTCCGGTTCCGTAGCCTCACCACTCGCTGGAAGCCCGACACGCTGGAGGAGACCTCTGCTGCTTCCAAGCAGTTTTTTCATTGTAGGAAATCACGACTACGTGTGTCAACAGACATGGCGACGACAAGAATGCTCAAGACTGAAGTCCGATTACTGATGCAGGTGATCAAGAAGTGGCAACCAAGAACCCCATACCAGGACAACACAATTCAGTCGCGATGCATAGACGCTGGCACCGTCAGACAGGATTGCCTGTGACTTCATGAAATAGCTGCCTACAACTTCAGGACACGCGGTGATCTCTGCCACTCATGTCTTCTACCATTGTCCATCTCATCATGTCTAAGGTCTAAAGATGCTTGCAGATTTGAGATCCTTGATGTCGCCCTCCAAGCCCTCGAAGAGCAGCTCAGCGCTGTCAAGTGCCATCTCCCGTGTGCTGACTTTCACCACATAGGCTGAGGATCCTGAAGTGTACGGGGGTTGATGTGCTCTGACAGTTGGTAAGGGCCAGCATGAGATTTTTATACGGATGCCGTCATGCAAAACTTACTCACAAACTGAGCGCCCTTCCTGCCAAGAAGAGGTATCCACCACTGACAGTCAGCGCCGAAATGACCGTTATCCTCAGCAGCAAGCTTGAACTGCATCTACAAAATCAGCGGCTTGTTGGGGTAGATTCCCGGTAGATACATTGCAACATACATTTCATATGGGGCTCCCTGGATCAGATTCTCTGTGGCAACACATTCCATCTCTGCTTACCTGCGCTTGGGCGAGCGGCGTAGCGTAGGGAAGGGTGGCAGTAAAGGAGGCAACCAAGCCAAGGTCAGCTTTCCGAAGCCTGGGATGACCAGATTTCAAGCGCTTGTGCTTGTCAGCTTGAGTGGCAGATTGGCACGACGTGATTTCATGCATAAGTCATCGCCCTTGTGAGACCACTGCGTCAGCCATGTGGGTCCGGCTTTTACAAAGGCATAGACATGGAGGCAACATGCGTGGAGAACGTGTCCTGTGAACCTAGGCTCTCCTAGTTGGGACACGCCGACTCCCCAATACAGGTCCCGCAGCCTCCTCTTGGGTTTCTGCAGAAACGAACTTGATGCCAAGATACTTCAACACCAGACCCACGGTCGATGAGAGCTCCTTCGCCGCGGAGCGAAGCCGATGCTTAAGGCATAAGTCGTCCAATAGAAACGAGCAGAAAAGCTCTCAGGCTGCAATTGAACGCAATCAGAGTGGCAAGCCCTACCACATGACTTTGCCACTAACAGGGCATCTGCTCTACCGCGACTGTTTTCTGACGACCCAAACAACCGCCTGCCCCGCGGCATAGAGGTGCTCGTCGTCCGCAGCCAGGGAGGCCAGGAAACGTGCTCCCAGTGTACTACGCTGCGTCAAAGATACAAGCTCGAAGTTCACAGGGCTGTATGCTGCGCTGAGCATTCGAATGTCCCCGTACTCATACTTCAAGATCACAGCAGGATCTTAGCAGAGTTCAGGAGCCAGCGTCTGGACAGCACATCCCCCAGCTTAGCTAAACACAACTTTGAACAAAGCCAGCTGGCCAGTCTCCAGCCCGAAGTACGAATAGTCTGCATCGCTGGTCCCGCACTCCACAAAGTCGTCGCCCGAATCCAGGGTAATGGTCGTTCCCACCTGCCAATCAGTTTCAGCTAAACTGAATCTCTGGAGATCCTTGGAAAGTCATCCAACCCCGCCTGCTGGAAGCTTTGAATCTGGAACTGCAGTATCTTGCCTGTCAAACACGTTAGTATTGTCAAGTCCCACTGCCACGCAGGCTGCTTCAGATTTCTGCCTGGCGAAGTGCGGAGCCCAAAAAGCACGAACTCTCCGTTTGTCACCGCCACGCGTGGTGTCAGCTCGCCAGCCGCAAGGGTCACCACTGTCTGGACACTCACATCGGCAAGCCTTTGACACGACTAGCTACCAGATCCTCTGGGAGTAACCCCTGTTCATGGCAGGATGGGTTTCAACATGTTTTTGACTGAGACGTAAGAATTTGCCAAGCCGCAAGAACTTCACTAGCTTCCCTGGAGAGATCGCTGGAGAGGTTGCTGACCCTTATCTTGCATCATCTTCTGCAGCGAAATCTTTGGCTCAACATTTCACACTCTCAGTGTCAGCACGCTTGCATCTCAAGCACATGACGATGCGCAGCTTCCTGTTCGCATAGCGCGTAGTCCTCACAGCCGAGTTGCCTGCAAATCCAAAGAGGCCATCCGTTGCAAGGGCACGGAAGCCAAATGTGGATCCGACTCCAACGTCAGTGCCACTTCGCACAGTGGTCCTCAGCCAAAGATTACATGCCTAGGCCTACGCCACCCCTGTCACCTGACGCATCCTGACGCCTGACGTGTTGGTTTTCTTGCGCAGACTAGGGGCCGGCGAAGCAAACCGCTGGGCTCGTCTTCGAGCAACACCTTGCAGGTGGAAAGCAAGCAGTTGTGCACTCCGTGGGGGCACGCTGATTCTGCACCTGGCGCAGGCGCCGGCCACCTTGCTCTGAAATCCACAGCCGTGAGCCCCGCAGCTCTAGGTAAGACGGCCTGCACAGGTCACTGAATCCGCATCAGAGCCCTCAATCATGCTCAGGTAAATTCTATGGAGGGTTACTATGCTACATTTAGGTAGTGCCCTACCCTGTAACAGTCTATATTAGGGGTCATATGAAGTTCATGACCCTCTGCAAGGTGGGCCCTTGCAAGCCCAGCCTGTTTACCTGCGCCAGCGTGTTGTATCCAAAGTCGCCAGTACTGGCTGCTGTCCTTGGCAGGATAGGCAGGGAAAGGTGCACATTCCACATGCTCCCCAACGGGATCTAGCAGCTCAATCCTTCAAAACGAAACTCTGCTGCAGTCCAAAATGCCCACTGCCAATGAGTGTGGTGATCTCATTGGAGATGAGATCTATGCGCCTTTACCAAGCATCTTATGGACGACGAAGGTCTTGGGCAAGTTGTCTAGGCCCGCGGCCTCACTCGCTGGTTCAGGGTGTCGGCAATGTAGAGATAATCCAGATGACGCACCAGCCTTGATCTTCGCTGGAAATAGCAATTGCAATGAGCATGGATTAAGCTGTCCAGACCTCAAGCCCAAGCCTTAAGCGACAGCCTTACACATCCAAACTTCAGCCAAGATGCGCCGATGGATAGTTGAGTGACGCTGACAAGGCGTTGCCACCATCACCACCAAATGCCACGGTGCCGTCGCCAGCTACGCTGGCAATGACCCCAGTTGCCAGGTCTACCACCCTGTCACAATTTAGCATGACTTCCCAATTACAAATGGTGCCAAGCCCCGGGGGTGACCGACAAGCTTTCCCATGATCTTACCCTGGGGGGGGCATGTTGATCCCATGACTTTCCACCCAGCATTCAGCTCCATGCACTCAAACCACAACACAGACCTCACTCGGTGCTGGCCATCTTCAATCTCCGTGTCGTAGAGCAGCGATCCATACAGTAGGAGGCCTGGTGATACACTACGCAAGGCGAACACCCATGCCCCCCGCACTTGACTCTGGATAGAACCCTGCGCCCTGAGTTTTGCCTTGCAACCATTCAATGCACAGACTTGCCAGCGGAAACGGCAGGCCATGCTGTACACTGCTAGGTCGAAGGCCTGTCCAAAGGCCAATGACCTACTATCATAGACAAAACGCAAGGACCCCAAAATGGTGCCCGCATGTTTACCTGATGATTGACATCTGTTCTTTAATGGTATTTTTTAGAAATAACAATAAGAGCGATAACAAAATAGCAATACTAATAGTACTCACACTAACAATAGTACTAATGATAATGGGAATAAGAGTAGTAATACTAATAATAGTAATACTAATCATAACAGCAATAAAAGCAATAACAATACTACTAGTAATGATAGTGGAATAGTAGTACGTTATAACAATTATACCAATAGTAGTGATAGAAAAAATTATATGTATCCAGATCCGACCTGCAGGCCCCCCGAGTCCCAGCTATGTACTGCCAGCGATGGTGACAACTCTTGTTGGATGGAAAGCCATCCAGTAGCATCATCACGTGAATTGTGTCGTGATGGTTGAACCAAGTGAGGCTCTAGTCCTCTTAGAAATCACCGAAATGGAAATGTCCAACCTTTCTCTGCATCGGGCACTATAAATGCTGCAGTCTACCTTTACAACCCCAAAACCCTCCCAGCCGAACCGGCTTTTGGAAGGATGCAGCAGCCACCGTCGCTGTATGAAACCAGAACAGTTCACTTTCCCCACCGCGAACTGTGGAAGACCAGTGCTCAGAATATTCCACCTGCCACAAAGCCCGATTTGGAAGTAGGGGGGAGGTTTGGTTCGGGGTTTCAGCAGCGCTTTCGCACATCAGTCTTCTTGCAAAGGACTCATAAACCTTCCAATGTTAGTGCTTGAGGGTCAAGGTTTGAGGATGACAAATGAGGGTTTACGAAGTTTACCGGCTGACTTCAACGTCATTGACTGATGGTTTGGCATTGGAAATCCTATGGATACATTCGACGCAGTGCTGGATTTGGAGTCCCAGATTTCCCGCTTCCCATCTGGACTTTGGTACCGAGTACCGCTGCAAGGGCGGCTCCACTCTGTTGGAGTCCCATGATAATGTATTAATGGTGCACTCACTTTTGTGAAGAGACCCTCTTTAATGTGTTTTCGCGCCCACTCATTCAGGACCTGGCCATTGTTGGGAAGAGCCTGTTTAATGTGTTTTGGTTTTGGGGCCCGAAAAATATTGGACCGAATCCAGACCATCCGTTTTAGAGCAATCCCCAAGGCGGGCCCTTAGTACTGGTGGTGCCTTATTGAGGACATCTAATTTCTGTTTTTCGGAGGGCCCTCTTGTTCGGTGGGGGGGGGCCCAGAGTTTAAAGATACTGTTGAACTATGACATGACGATAGTACTACCCTACGACAGAAAACTGTAATCCCTAAACAGTGTTATTGCTGTTGGGCTTCTTGATTGATTCAAGAATGCCGAGTGGCCGGGCCTATGATACCGCATGACTATACTACTTCCAAACCATGACATTACAATAGTACTATCTTACGATAGCACAGTTCATATTACCTGGTTCTTCTGGAAAGCTCACTATGGAACCTCAGTAAGCTGTTCTACATTTGAGGCCTCTCGCATGTAAGTATGGATTTTGATTTCGCCTTGTTCCTGATCCCCACGCAGCATTTCATAGTGAAGTGTTATTGGTTGAGTCTGCTGAAAGAGGAGCCTCTCAGAATGAGATGGCAAAAGATGCCAGACTATGGCAAACAGAAAACAAGGAACAAAGCAAGGGAAGAAGCATAAAAAAGCAGGTGGTTTGGAAGCGACGCCTACGAAACTCCCAAGTCACGCCCAGAAGAACTCAAAATGAGTTCTGAAAGTCACCTGCCTCCACTCCTCACTTTGCCATGGCCGGCTTCTTCTTCAAGGGAGCCTCGTCCTCATCTTCTTCCTCCTCATCTTCCTGACAGAGGAAAAATGATCCATGCCTAAAATCCATGAAGTGGATCCTTTCAAGGATCCTGGGATGCAGTCTCTCAGACCCTTTCCCCTTCTCGACGATATCTCAAAGTGCCAACCGTTGGGGAGGATGGCGAGTAGTCGCTGTCTTTGCAATTATAATTAGTCTTGGGACCTCAGGGTGGCTTCCTCGCAGCTGACACTGGTACATGTTGATGGCATCCACTACGGTCAGTCGTCATGATTGATGCCAAGGATCCGTGTACATGTATACTCATGCCGAGAAGAATACGTAAACAGTTCAAGAGATAAGTAGGATTCGTTCAGGTCCTCGTTGAAAATCTTGGAGATTTGTTGGCCAATACCCCAAGCAATGCACTAACACTTTGGGGTTCTTGCGCTCAGGGCGGCCAGTCTCCCGGCTCCCTGGTGGACCACCCTTTCAATTTGGTGAACTCGAGCTTCCGCCACCTTTTGGATAGGAGGGTGCGTGGATTTGGGGTCACTTCGCACCTTCGCTCCGCCAATCCCCTGCTGGCGCACATTGCCAGATGCCGATGTGCGGTCGCTGTTGGATCGATGGCTTGAGATCGCGCACCAGCATGAAGCTTCCGCGCAGTCTGCCTCAAAGTCGTGCTGTCGCGCGTGGCGTCTTCACACTTCCCCTTGGTTCGAGCGCTCTTGGGGGGCTCGTGGGGTCTGTCCTGGAGGGTCTGTATTTTCGACCAAGAGTACATCGATCTACAAGAGCATCCGCCCACCAAAGCATCCTTTTCCAAACTACCATAGCGTCCATGAAAACCCGAAACCGGCGTTCAGGCTCAACAAAACTTACCGTGAAACCGCGCCGAAACCGCAGGGGGAGAGCGCGCGGCACCAAAATACACCACATCCATTCCAAAAAAGGGACCAGCGATTGGGTGCAGAATCACCCAATAGGAGCAGGATTTGCTATTGCCGACGGCGACCATAGTCTGTGCGTGTCATTTCAAGTACTGCGATGCTGCAAATGAGAAGGAGCCCTCTTGGGCTTCTGCTTACCTTACATCATCTTACATCAAGGAGATGTTTATTACAAGGCCATCATCCTAAAGTATTATAATGCTAGACTGCTAGTGTAGCTTCACACTGCGTCTAAAGCATCTACTCGCCTCAGCTTCCTCCACGTCCTCCGCCTCCTCGGCAGGCAGAGACTTCTTGTACTCCTCCATAGCGGCCTTGTACTCCTTCCTTGGCAGGGTTTTGCCGCTTGCATGGCCATACAGCATCGCAAGGTTAGAATCCAGGGTTTAGGGTTTTTTGGTCTAGGGCTTCAACCTAGAAAGCTTCACAATAAAACCTGCAGGCCTTCAAACGTGCAGGCTCGCAGGCAAGAACTAGAATATAGACAAGCTTCATCTTCTCTTGGAACTTTTCTGTGTAGACCTGCCCGCACGGAATGTTTCAGGTACATCGCGCGATGAAATGCCGCCAAACTCCTTTGGAGCTTGCAGTGGTTGTGAGGCAGGCAGGCAAGGACACTTAGCACCAACACCCTCCGTGCTTTCCTGACAAGCATCGGCAAGAAGACAAGCGAAGGCATCAACATAGAGCATAGAAATGAGCAAAGACAGGAAATTTTGGACTGACAAGGCCGCAGCTACAAGCCCGAAGTTCAAGGAATGCATCTGAGTAATGATGCTGGAAACCGCTGCCTTCTTCTTGGCCTCAGGCAGCGCTTGCCACTTCGGTCCAGCAGCCTTTCCAATTTCCGTGATCTTGCTGCCTAGCAGGAGTTTTGATCAAGATGTTGTAGGGCAAAATGGGACCTGATGTATTGACACGAACTGCATCCAGAGTGCTTTCAAATTCATTTAGCCAGTCATTTGCCTGATACCTGCGACTCAGCGGAGAGACCTAATGCTTGTGGGGAAGAATGTGTTAAGGCCTCATGTCCCCGGCAGGAGCAGCAGGAGCAGCAGCCGCACAGCAAGCCACAAAAAAACAAGCAGTAGCAGTAGTACTGCTACTGCTACTGCCACTGCTACGACGCCGACGACGACGATGACGACAACGACGACGACTACTACTATTACTACTAGTACTACTACAACTATTGAAATCTACAACTACTGAAATCTACAACTACAACAGCTTGAGCTAGTACCACCACCGCCGCCGCCCGTGCAATGATATGCTGACTGTATACTGTATTCTACTGCATTATACTCTATTAAACTATATTATACTATATCATACTTTATTGTACTCTACTATACTAGATTATACTATGTTATACTATTTTATAATTTTATATACTGTATTATTCTTTATTATACTATACTATATTATACTATATTATACTACAAAATACTAGTATATTCTATTATAGACTGCCGACAGCGCCTGCAGGTAGTTCCTTCATAATCGCCTCGCGGTTCTCGTTAAGCCAAACACCTGAGCATTGGATTTTCCTGGGCGCTTGCCTCCCTATGTAAACCCTATATAATCCCTATAGTTTCCATTTTCTTTTCCATTATCCCTATATGACCCCTATAGAATCCCTTATAATCCCTATATAACCCTATAATCCCCATAGTTTCCATTTTCTTTCCCATTATCCCTATATAGAGCAAGGTTGTAGTCCTCCTCTTATGTGGGGTCCAACAGAAAAATCTTACTCCTCTGTGTTGGCTGGTAACCGCCAATCTGAGGCATGCCTAATTCGGAGTGGCTCTCAATGATGACTCCCTGTTGGGGAGTCTTAGGAATGATCTTAAGAAAGAACTCATGAGAACCCGACAACCTTTGGCGGCAATTGCAAGAAGACTTTGGCATGTCATCCCACACCGATATCCATTTTCCAGGTCCAGACAATTGCAGCTGAGGTGCCGTAGCCACCTCCTGCTGGCTTCTTGGGAGCGTTCTTGTCCTTCTTTTTCTTCTTCTTGCCATCGTCATCCTTCCTCAGAGTCTGTAGAATTTATGAGCCTTATGGGCACTGCGCAGACTTCGGCGATGATGCTCTGATGTGCACCCCGTTTTAACTATGCAAGTCATGGAAAAGAAAGTGAGCATAGCAGCATGGCACCGCTTGATTTTTGCGACCTACCCAGCATTCTGCAAGCAGTCAAAATTGCATCCTGCAAGCAGCATGCCTCTGCACACAATTGCATAAAGGAGTTGGAAGATGACACTCGGGGTTTGCACGACAGTGCTAATTTACCGGCATGCCTTTGACAGGGTCCCAACCGGGGCATTCGTCGTAGGTTCCGATGCTGCCATCGTCCTGCACGCAGTAGCTGTACGCGCAGTAGGTCATGTCACACGCTGAGCTGCCCATGGCACAAGTCCATGCAGCCACGAAGTGCGCATGCTCCGGGGATGGATTGCTGATAGGTAAGAGGGGCAAGTCAACCATGTAGGTCCCCATCATGTCTATCAGAGTCATGTTGCCCTTGGAGCCAAGGCTGACGAGAAGATCAGAGTTGCAATACTCCTTGCCCTTTGCAGTCATGCCCTCGAAGTCGTGCTGCAACGCCTTGATCTCCGGGGCCAGCCAACCGTTGTGGAGGCAATACTTCTGGTCATACGCCAGGGTCTTGTAGCCAACAATCGGTAGGCTCGGTATCTGGACAGACTTGGCAAACATCAGGTAGTCCTTGTTGTAGATCGCATCAGCACAACCCTTTTCCGTGTTTAGCTCGCACCAGCCAAAGGTCTCGTTGTGCTCGTCTGTGGCTTCTCTCCTGAAGCTGCTCAAAGGCAGAAATACCTTGTCCGGGTGCTCGAACAAGCTTTGATTGCCACAGTCAGTGCGCTGCACATAGGTGTTGTTGGGCGCACGCTCTTGAGTCGGCAGACCGCACAGTGCACATTGGCGACCGTTGGCATCGATGTTAATGGCCCAATCCAAGAACTTCGTAGGGTCAGCAGTCGCCTTCATGCCCTGGCCCTGACGATTGGCAGACTCAACTTTGCGAGAGCCGTGCTGCAACAATGAAGTTCCTTGCTGACAGCTGGCGGAATCTTGGCAGCCGAAGGCATCTGCTTCCAGCCCAGCGGCCAGAGGCAAAACTAGGGCAGCAATCGCAATCATGAAGTTCGTCATCTAAACAGAAAGATGTTGGCAGGTGGTGTCGCCTACGATCCTTCTGCAGACCTCGAGCCGAACAGCATCGTGCATGGTGCATGCATCTAGCTGACATGACGCTTCCATGCCTCTGGCCTCAACGCAGGCTAGGCGGCTGAGCAGCAGCTGCAGCAGCTCAAGCAGTAGCAGCAGCAACACGAGCAGAAGCACTCTTCAGCCCAGGCTTCCCCTTGCGTTTTTTGGACTGAACCTCGCCGCCAGCTGCCTTGAACGCGGCCAGGTCCTTCGGGTAATCCTAGGGGAGCCTCTGGGATTGCTGGGGGGTGTAAGAGCACTCCTGATCCCAGAGGTGCTACTACTTTTTAATCACACGAGTTAGGCTTTCTTGCACAAGCCACTACTTGTATTGGGTGTGGTGGTGCCTCTCCGAAACTAGCAGGAATTGTAGTTGCTCGCATGAGGCTCGTCTGGAAGAACAGCAAGGATCTTTTAGGGACCAACGAGCTTCACAGCTTTGACAGACTATGCAAGACTCCTTCTCGTACTGAGCCTTGTTGGCCTGGTACTTCTTCTCATACGGAGCTTTCTCTGCGTCAGTCAACTTCCTTCGTCACGGCACATATCCACATTGCAAGCTTTCAAATGGAGCAAACCCTTCAGCCATTCAGCCAAGCATCCCCCAAGCTGCGCCGACGAGCTTCGCGACCTCTGAGGCTCTCTTGCCTTCTGCCTGGGCACGAATCCATCCTTACACAGCAACAAGCCGAGGATCCTGCGCAAGAATATAGATCGCCCCGCCAAACAGCAACGCTCTACCAGCATGAGCTAGGGGCTGTCCCCGTCAAGCGATGATATCAAGACATTTCCTGTGTAGCACTTGCTTGGAGATCCCTACATGCCTTCATCCCTCAGAGTGCGCAACTTTTCAAACCATCCCACGTTGCCAGACAAACCCCGGCCTGCTTCTGGAACTCCCCGCGTTTCTCCTTCAGGGTGCGCAGTTTATACATACCCCGAAGAGTCTCTGAGTATCCATGGGGACACAGAAACCACGCAAAGAGACCGCAGCACTGGAAGCTTGCTTCATAGTCGTCAGCAGCTCCAGGATAATTACCCAGCACAACAGGCACACGCACCGAGAATTCCAATGCAGCATGACTGCAGCTGCGGCACGGCCATGAAGACACCATAGGCTCCACCAACAGGCTTCTTGGGTTGTTCCGCCATTGCTTCTTGCGGCTGTGGATGAGCGGACGGCGAGAGAATTTCAGATCTCGACTTTCTGGAAACATGGTGCTGGTGCTGTGCATTGCTGACATTGTGTCAAACATCTTCTTGAGCCATGATCAGCTATGAGCCAGCGTCAAGTCCCACGTGCTGCAAGTAACTCAAACTAACTGCATCCAATCCATCCGATCAACCATGCCTTTTACCTCCAGTCCAGGACTACACCGACTACATATGCCAGTGCCCTGAAATCAAAACCCTGAGTCGAACTACGAACACAAAACCACCCCGACTCAAGCAACAACTTCTTCGACATGAAGAGCCTCTTGGAGTGGCAAGGCGAGCAAGAGTTGCTTGGCCACCGTCCCCAGAAAAGACCCCCGAATTGAAGCCAGCAGAGCCTGAAATCGCAGGGATGGTCACCAAAGGTCCAAATCACTGAGACAGGCACGAGATGCAGAATCAGGTATTGTTTCCTAGACTGTGAAGGCACTACCTGTCTGTGGAGTTCCCAATTTCTATCCACTGCAAAAGCTAGTCTGTCTGCTCTTGGCTAGAAACTTTGCGTACAGGGTTGAGATCCGAATCTGCAGGAGGCCTGAACCTGCAACAGTGGAGAGCGTGCTTGCTTGGACGTCAAGAAGCCGGATCCTCAGTCAGATTGGGGCTACCTAGGTCAAGCTATTGAGGTGAGCTTGTCATATGGTGCAAAAGCAGTCACGAGCAACAGCAAAACTATTCGAGATGCCTTGTGGATGTTGAAAACCAAGAATCCTGTTGTTGATTGAGTCTGTGAAGAACACGTGGCCTAGCTGGTTCACGTCCACAGCATGTGGCGCGTCGAGGGTCCGAGCCAATGCACTGTGTGTGGCGTCGTCCCCAGTGGTGAAGCCTCTGCTTCCAGTGCCTGCAACTGTCATCACCGCGCCTGTTGCCATGTCCATTTGCCGTATTAAGTGATTCGCGGAATCTGCAACAAACAGCTGGTCTTGCCAGCTGCCTAGACCAGCTGGTTCTGAAAGCTGCGCCGCCAGAGGGTTTACGCTGTCAATCGCCCCTGCTGTGTTACGAGTGCCGGCAACATCCCGAACCGATGCAAACTTGCAAACGGATGGACCCGAAACATATGCAGCGGCCACGCCCGTCTGCACAAAGCCTTGCCCGGAAGTGCTGGCTTGGATAAGGACGCAGCTGCCAAATCCTGTGGAGCTGCCATCACTATCAATCAAAAAGTTGAAGTGCTCACAGCCATCTGTTGCTTGGCATGCATCTTGGCACTCGCGAGCAGATCTCGAAGCAAGCGCTGACAAAGTTTGACCACTCGTCACATTCACCCCAAGCTGCAGGCAGAAGCGGGCTCCCAAATCGATTCCTGCCATCATTTCAACATGAACAATCCCTACATAGATTTCCATTTCAACTGTGTGTGTTTTTTAATAAATCTTCCATGTTCTTTCCATTATTGGGATAATATCCCTAAACCCTAGACCCTAGATAGGACTAACTAGAATCATTTCTAGGATTATGATGAATATTATGATCAGACAGCTTCAGCCCGCAAGCTCAGCATTTCGTGCTCTGCTAGTGACACAAGACTAGAAGAATAAACCCTGCTGCTAACCTGCTGTTTCAATTCAGCTTACGCGTTTCCGGTAATCCACTGATAATGAAACGCCTCTCGCCCCCCAAACAGTGAACTTTCAGTTCATGACTGGTGGTACCATGTTGGGGAGTGGTCAACGTATTAACTGAACGCGCTTGCAATGATTGCTGCCCCATGTGCTACAACCTACTGGGACTAGTAGGAAATAAGGGAATACACTATGTAGGGATAAGATGAGCTATAGTCTACACTCCTAGTATCCCCCTTGAAAACCCCCTATAGTAATCCCATATATAATCCCCTATATGACCCCGCTTTGAGGAGTTTAGACTATAGCTCATATAGGGAATATATCCCTGCCAACCACCAGCGAGACAAGCAGCCCCCCTTGGCAAGCCTCGGACCACCTGCTGGTTGCGCTCTGCCTGGCTGTAGGGTATAGTAAGTCCTCCTTGAGTAGATAGAATATAGGGCTTACGGTGTTTTTTGGGACCTTTTCTCCAAGGCGCAGGTCCTTAGAAATACTAGCAAGCATGGTCCCGAGAAAACTCAGGTAATCAACATGCACTTATGACTGAGATGAGTGCTTGACAAAGTAAGGGAACAAGGGGAGGCACGTTAGCAGGTACAACGTTCGGTTTAGGGTCTAGGGTCCCCCTTAAGTAGATAGAATATGGCTTTGGGTATATTACAAGAAGATCCCCATATACCCCATATTCTAGCTTCTCAAGGGGGACTGTATCATTAAGAGACTTCTTCTTGCCATTGTTCTCAGAAAGCGTATTGCTATTGTGGTTGCTATAAATAGGGTTTTCACGAGTCTTATTATTATTACTGCTATGATTTTGTTTGATTCGGGTTTTGCATTTCCAAGCGGGATCTATGACTTGACTGACCTGCTTCTGAGCCGTGAAAGTGTTTTCAAGGAAATTCTGGAGCACCTGCTAACTGTTGCACACCAAGCACTACCCACAGTGCCATACACGCGACACATTCAGCGGCAGAACGAGATAACCTGTTCAGTATCCACATGTTTTGCATCATGGTGTTACCACACTGCTGCTTCTGAAAGACCCGCTACAATACTTAACCCCAATCCTCAAACGTGCGCCGCACAAAAAATTATGCCGAAAGCCTAAACCTTGAAAGTCCTACACCCTGAAAGGATACCTCGGGACAGGCCTGATAGAGCGGTGCACCCATGGGGCCGATACCCTGAGCGAGGCCTGTAGGTTCATCCACAGGCACTTCCTGCAACAGCGTTATAGGGCTCATGCGGCTTAATTGCAAGGAAGTAAGGGTGCATTGGGTTGCCGTTCTTAGTCAGGCAGGGCTGTGGGGAACAGAGCTATCATGCGGATTGTCAGCAGGGCATGTAGTAAAATTGTCATCATGAGAGGGTGGGCAAAATCAGGCGGACATGAGAGGATAAGACTAAGGTGATAATTGGAGGGCTGTAGGGCTGGGGGGTTAGAGTAGCAATAGGATTATGCATGTCCTGGGAGGGCTTGAATGAATCTACAGGATTCATGGTGATCGCTGTTGCAATGGTAAGGTCTATGGGCTATTCTATCGAGAGCCCGGGAGAATGGTAGGGTTACCAGCGGTCTTGTGTAGGGGGGTGAGATGTGAATTCATAGCATACAAGACACAAAAAAAGACCCAGCTGTGTACTTCTCAACACTATAACCGCAGGATCCTTCTTAGGAGGACCCCTCTTTAGCATGGATCGTCTATAGATGAAGGCCAAGAGGTAGCCATCATCGCCGACAGCGTAACAGGCCAAGCCGAGCAAAACGACAGTACCGTGGGCAAGAGCAACGTCTAAGAACACTGCCTGCAATGATGACAACACACTACCACCAATCAGGCAAGCCCTCTCTAAACGCAAGGGTCTCGAACCCCAGCTGAACTGTCCTCGGCACAATCTTCTGCGCCGTGATTTCCTTCCTTAAGAGCACGCATGGATTCAAACTTTCAAGGATCTACCAGCCTCTACATAACATATTGATCAAAACTTCGCATGCGCAAATTTGGCTACGAAGATTGGCACCTGCTTTGACAAGCGGGTTGTGACCTCTGCATGCAGGCTCGGGTCTAGTCCCGTTGCGCCCGTACCGGCGAAGGTCAGGACCTGCGACATTTCACTTAGTAGCAGTGGCCGCAGGATAAATACATTACAGGCGGAAATCACCCAGAAACTAGCCATGGCTTGGGCTGCTGAACTGTGAATCGTACCAATGTTGCTTCAACATACCTCACTTGCACTAACATGCAGCTACTAGAGCAACCATGGCAGCCTAACTGCGTCTGACTAGGGTTCAAAGAACCTCATTTCGAAACATCTGGACCCCCCATCATTCCCAGACTTGAGAGCAGCGCGCACGAAAGCTAGACTACAGCAGCTGAGGCAAGAATGTTTTCTCGTGAGGAGAAATGTGAATGCTTTGTATATACAACTGTGACCGTCTCACACTGTCCGCTTTGCTTGCCAAAGTTTGCAACACTGTCATGCCGTCCTCTCTGATTGCCCGAAAAGCACTCTAAAGTTGTTTGGAACATTGCACGTTAGTCT